ATAACGTAATGGATTTCAACGATTGAAATTGGCAATAGCATCCAGGGACAGGAGGGGTACGTCTCTTCGTGCTATTAATTAAAAAGACTTCCGGGATTTTGTTATACAACGTATAACGCTGTAAACAGCAATTACTTGAGGCAGGAAGCGACGAGACGGATACGACGTGACAATTGAGGACGCCGTATTGAAGATCGCTGCGAATCAAAATTGTAGTCAAGTGATGCGTAGTCGCAGTTAGGTTAGATGCGTTTATCTCTTTTTTTTTACAATCGGCATCCCTTTATATTTGACGTATTACGACACGTCGGTAAACCGTGGGTACGATCCTGCATGACCACTCGACTCAGTCGGTAATAGTAGCGAAGGTTTCTGTTCTCTGGAGTGTATTATTGCACCTATACAAAATCACATCTTTACAGCCTCCTTAACTTGTCTCTCCCACCACGACTGCAGGCTGGCGGTAGCTGCAATTAAAGCGCCAAGGTGTAGGTCCATTGCGTGGGGGGGCCTTATACAAGAATCTGACTCTAGTTTGCATGAGTTCGATATGCAACGGGTGGCTAAGGTAGAAAGTACGTGTATCAGCTATTAGGGATTAAATTATTTTTTGTCGGTCGAAATTAATAAAAAAATATATATATATATATATTTAACACGTCTTTTAAGTCGATTATGATTCACGAAAAAATTACGTGTATACGTTACTAGGTTATGTGGTGAAAGACAAAAAAATTACATACTTATACGATGCGCAATGCCCTTCAACGCTCGTGTCACGTTAAAGAAGTTCACTTTACATATCATTTTACATCGACGTTCACTTTCAGTGGATTACGCGGATTTGTCTGCTTACATACGTATCATTTCCATTGGCTTGTCTTATTACGTGTATACTCCGTTGCGCGACGGGAATTTGTCGTTGGTTTGCTCAAGGATGTATTATGGAGTCGGGAGATAAATTTTGAGCTTCTTTTTTAATTCAGGACCTTTTGCTTATGTGTAAGTGATTACGTAATTTTTTCCTCTTACCAGAAATATCGAGGGATTCTTTTTGTGTGGACCACCCGACACAATGCGTCGAGCATAGACTCCGGCAGGTCTCCTTCTAAGGAACGCGAAGGTCGTGTTGCATGTGGCATGTGGCATGCTGCCGGTTCGTTTTTTTGCATTTGTTACCTTACGCTGGGAGACTCGAACTTTTATTAAATTATATGTTATTTCACTACATAAATGCTTCCATGTTGATATTTAGGGCAAACGTCAGTTTAGGTTTTTATATGATTTTCGGTCGTTACACTCTTTCTTCTTTTCACTGTACGCGACCTCATTTTTTTACTTGGTCTAACATGAGATTTAGGGAAATTCTAGACTGACTGTATTCAGTCAGAAATTACTGATACGCCTACTAAAAGTCGTTACCAAATATGAGTAGGGAGATTGCCAATGAGCCGATTTTCATGCTCAAAGTTTTATTTCGGCGACGACGCGCCACCTGAGCAGAGGGCCCTCGAACCAGTCTCATGTTTCTGATTGGTCTAGTATATATAGCTTACGAATACGAATACAGAGATGAGTAGGGAAATGCACAGTGCTACGGTTTTAGGCGATACCAAAAGCATGGCGCTGAATCTCAGCGGCGAGTCCGGAAGTAGAGTTATGTGATCATAGCCTCCGTCGATAATGCGGATCCCGTCGTAGCCGAGCTAACCGCGATCACGAACGTGTAGCTTGCCCGGCAGAGTCCTCCGCTACTTATCACTGGTTCTCAAAGCAACACTTAGAACGAGACAGCTCATCGGATATAGCCTAAATATTTTTTTTATTTGCAATCCTAAATTCGATCGCACAGTGTAAGCTCGGTAAGTTTAATATGACAAAAGCAAGCAGCTCATGCCTGCCTGCACTGAAGCGTATGATGCCACCAGCATACTTAATACATATTTTACCGATGTTGCGTAGCAGAACGATCGTTAAAACCTATCAGGAACTGTAAAACTCCTCGAGAACTATTTAAAAAGCCTAAAAAAATGTTTCAACAATAGGGTTTTTCAAAAGTTGTCGAGGAGTTCTATAGTTCCTGATAGGTTTTCACGATAGTTCTGCTACGTAACATCGGTAAAGTACCTATTAATGACACTAGTCGCACCATATGCTTCAGTGCAGGTATGCATAAGGAGCTGGTTTTCAGTGTTGTTTTTAGATTGTGTTTTAAACAGTTCCGGGATAGTTCTCTCTAGTACTCAATGTTGGGACCATAGTTCCGCCTGGAACTATTGTTAAATAATGCTTTTTTGAAAAACTCGAAAAAATGGGTGTCTAGACACTGTACCTCCTACGCACTTATATAGAATTTATAAAAAAACTGTGAAGGTACAGACGTGGCCCTATGGCGATTTAATCTGTGCCAGCCTCTTCTATGGACCATTCTGAGTTTCTGCATTAAGAAATCTTTAAAAATTTCAACGAAAAAGCCGTAGATCCAACCGTTAACGAGTTTAACTTCGCTTCGACCCTCCGAAGCGCCATTCCTGCGACCCAAGCTGGGTTAGCATCGCCATATCAGCTCCGTCCGAGCGCCCAGCACTCCGCAAGAAAGCTGAGCCGAAGCGTCGGGAAAACTTTCTAACAATACCAGACTAGTTAGTGGATTTTCAAGTATAGAGATATAAGTTTTCTGGCTGACGAGCGACTCTTTTTATTCCATCGAGGAAACTTCCGCGTCGCGACTAACCACTCACGCCATTGGACGGCGACGGAGTGCCATCCGGTACCTGCCAATTTTACCAATTTTACCAATTTTCACCATTTCATCACAGTTCACTCACTCGAGAAAAGGTCAAGATTCTCAAGTGGCGCAAGTTCAGCTCCGAGCGGAGGACGTGTGCGGTGACCGCGTACCGTCGATTCGAGAGGGTCAACGGGAGCAGAACATATAAAGATGATGACGTGTACTGCGGTGCCATGGAACTATAACCAACCCTGTGTTCTTCTCTCGTCGGTGCGCTATAAACGCGGAATTGGCAAAATCCAGAAAACTGGCGTGGACGAGGAAAAAGTATTTAGTGCACAGCGGAATCTGCGGTTGATCACTCGGAAACAAGAATAGCTGGAAATATAGTCAGATACTACCGCGCAGCATGGGAACACTTTCGGAATGCATCACCAAAATCTCGCAGAAATATAAGTCGGATCTATGCTATACTTCCGGTATCCGCTTAGTATAGCAAATTTATGGCTTTCAGCACGGCCGCTTACATAAAGGTTTATGGTGAGTAGAAAAAAAAGGAAAAAAGAAAAAGATCACTTACCCCAGGATCCTCGTCTTCCTTTCTCTCGTCCATTTGTATTGTTCATTGGTCCAGTACATCTTTCGACACTCGAGGTCCACTTTGGTGACGACTTGACGATTCCAGCCTTGGCCACTACTTTGCACTTCCTGTATTTTCGGTTGCGGACTAATTCTTCACTTGTTACGAATAGACCAATACGCGAATTTACGCGAACTTTAGATAATGCCTTCGCCACGCACTTATGTAAACGTATCGAATAAGGAGTATAGAAAGAGACGTTTCGCGACGCACTACGTCACACTTTTTTTTCGTAAATGAAGGTAAAGGATAAAGAATAAAGAAAGAGATGGCATGAAATGGGCTGAAGGCCGGAGGCGAAGAGCCTCAAAGAAATGATTTTGATGATACTGATAGGGAATGGTTGTTACAGACATGACACTTGACCGGGGACAAGCGCGATGGACCGGATTAAGCAGTCTGGGGTGTCAATTACAACTCGTACAGGGTTCGTCCACGATGCTCTGGAGTGACGATGCAGGCTGATCGGTGCACGGCAATTCTTCGCATTTCTGGATATCGTTGACGCACCCTGTAATGCTCCTAAAGAGTACGTTTCATTAGCACAGCAGGGCTCTAAGTCTTTTTCTACTACCTATAACTATACTACCTTTAACTTATAGCTATACTACCTATAACTTTTTTGAAAAACTCAAAAAATAGTGTCTAGTCTCTGTACCTGCTAGACAATTATATTGAATTTATAAAAAAAAAACTGTGAAGGTACAAACGATGGAACGCAGTAGAGATATATTAGAGACTATACTCTTTCGAAGGGGATTGATTGGAAAGAGTTACAAACGATACTTTTTTGAAAATCTCGAAAAAATAGAGCTTACACTGTACACTTGTATTTAAGATTACAAAAAGAAATATTTAGGCAATATCTGAGAAGCGACCTGTTTCTAAGGGTAGCTCTGGGAATCAGTTGTAAGTTGTGGAGAATCTCTGCCCGCCAGGCTACCCGTTCGTGATCACGTTCAGCTCGGCTACGACGGGATATGCATTATCAACGGAGGCAATGCTCACAAAATTTTATTCCCGGACTCGCCGCTACGATTTAGCGCCATGTTTTTGGTATCGCCTAAAACCGTAGCGTTGTGCATCTCCCTACTGATCTCTGACGAATATACCACGCGCGATATTCTCATGACTTCATGAGACACATGGCTGTGTTTCAGATTATGTATGACTTGATCGATACGTGAATAAAAATTATATTTGATGAAATCAAATTAATACTCACTGAAAGGAATTCTAGTTTTACGCAGTTGATGCTCAACGGGTTGTCTCTTGATTACGTATTGCTGCTGCAGCTGTGGGTACTACAGGTAGACGTAGTGCGCACTTTAAATGCAAGATGGCAGGACGGTGGTCCTGCATTACCTACAGCTGGAACAGGAACACGTAACCAAACAACTGGCCGAGCATTGAATTACGTGAAGCTAAAACTCGTTTCCAATAACTATTAATTTGATTTTATCAAATATAAAGATAAGTATTTTGAGGTAGTTTAGGTCGTACGTAAATTATGATACACCGTGATTAAAATATATGTATGTATATACAATACAAATATATTTAGCCGATATGCATTTTCTTGCTAAACACGTATATATACATATCGCCTCGAATAACTTATCGACACAATTATTATTGAATATACGTTTTTCTTTATTTGACACTAGGTATATTATAGTAGTAGTACCTCGTACAGTACACTCTTACGTTAACATACAACATACTGTAATAAATATTTTTTTTTCATGTTTCTATCAAGTCGTACATAATCTGAATCGCACGCGTTAAGTTTTATCAGTATCAGAATAGTATTTCGCGGATACTTGCGTTTGAGTTTCGCTCCAACGAATAGATATTTTTTTTTGATTTACACTAACGAAAGACAGAAAACCAAAGTCGTGACGTGTCCTGCCCCAATTATCGATTTACATTATTTTTGCATTTTATTAATACTACTTTTCTTCATCTTCCCTCGATATTCTCTCGTTACAAAAAGAATGTTAATATTTATCTCTAGCTTCGCTCCGGCGCGACCTTCACTTCGTACATCTTTGCCATAGACAAAATATAGATTGCATCTTTCTGACATTACAGATTATCTAGCCGATAGGCAGCACGCGTGGAAAGTGAGTACTGCACATGCATTCTTCAGCATAAAATGCCTTCCACTAATATTCTAATACCTAATGCATCCATCCAGTCAGCTTCGAACTCACATTGACACCTATTGATACTCGTAATAAATTCGATAGTATTTGAGCCTGATTGGATCGAAATTAATTTTCAACAGTCAAAGCATATGCCTTCTATCAAGAAGAAGGATCATGAGTGATCGTTCTCGAAGGGAGTTAAAAGTACGAGGAAAAATTGATTGTTTAGATTAGATAAATTGCAGTACGCTTCAACGATAGATATCGAATCGCCGAAATATTTAACCGCTATGAAAATCGAGGTAGTCGCGTGAGGTACGGCTTAAAAAATGTGTATATTCTCAAAATTTTAATTGCTAATTTAATTATAGCGATGACTGCATTCTAAATTAAATTTACATCCAGCCATCGCAGCAACTCACTTTGTAGGCAGTAAATCGAAATTAAAAGTTTACGCAAGACTCGAGTCGCACCAGTGTCAATAATTTCGGTATTGAAGAAAAAAAAGAGAAATGACGTCACGTTGGCCGTACATCCTGCCGTAGTTCGAAATTTCGAAAACTTAAGGCACAGCTCCGAATGGATTAGACTGACAAAACACATAGTTAATAAGTACAGAGTAAGTCGTACAACGACAGTAAAACTGCAATGCAGTGGCATATGACGTAAAAAAAAATTTGCAAAATTCATACGACGTCATTTGACAGAACCTCGCACGACTACGTTGAATCTTTCGCAATGTAATTCTCAAGTAAAATGGCTTGAGGATTTTTGACGGTGAAGTTTGCGAGAAACCATTTTACAAAATTTCACGATACAGTTCCTAATCTTGTCACACTTCGCAATACAATTAAACACCGTATATAACATTAATATATAATCTTGTATCATTTTCTCCTTTCGCGACACTGTATTATCCCACGATACGACATACGAGACTTTTAGTTATTTTTTTTTTTAATTAGCATTTAATTTGATTTTTCAGACATTCTCATGCGTTCACTGAAACCACGTTTAATTGTCACTTTATTTATTAAGACCAGCCATCGATTTCCACCAAGACTCGTCAATAAATCACTCGTCGCATTCATTACGAGAACTGTCATCGAAATTGTCAACTATTCGCAAAAATTCCGTGTCTATACCCACGATCAATATTCTGGCACAATGGGTCTAAATAAGGAACGTCCATTTTTCCTATATCGCTCGCGAATGTCTCTCCCGAAATCAGGAGAATTCGGAACGCATCAGAATCTTCTACGGAGTGGATGTAGGCTTACGAAAGGAAAGAGGGGAGGAACAATCGAAGGGATAGCACGAGGATAAGGTCAAGGGGAAGGGAGGGAATGCTTTATTGACAATTTATGAGGCCTCATTATCACTAAGCCCTAATCGCGTCTGCGGCCGATCTAAGATATTAACAAAATACACTGCAGCACTATCTTAGGTCACGAGGTAAAACGTAGAAGACCAATTGAATGCGTCCGGTACAAGATGACCGAGATCCAAATACACGTCCTTTAAAAAGTGTCTTTAGAGACAGCGTGGTCTGGATTGGCGAAGCTGAAGTGACTTCGTAAAAACATTCGGTTTAAAGGTGAATTTAAAAATTGCGACTTTCACCTGACTACAATAATATTGGAGACGCACGCTGACGACTTGGCCAATACCACAGGTAGGGGATAGCAATATAATTTTGGCACTTGTTTACTAGAACGAAGTAAACTCAGAATACGTATCTCGTCGCTCCTTAGGCCTGTAACTATTTTTAATAGTAAGACGACTCGATAGTCCCATTTTTTGTCCCTACTAAATAAGCTCAGCGTCATCGACTTCTCCCAGGTACTCTTAGTCATTTCCAATGATATCTTTCTCTCACATTTCTCTAGACGGTATAAAAGATAATGTACATTTAGGTACATAGTCTATTTGCATCGGCGCCCGTTAAACCTTTAAGATTCTAAGGAACCGCTAGAAAATACAATCTAGACACACGGAATCCTCGATTACGAAATCGCGACTGCGCATGCGTCAGTATTTTGGAACAACGCAAGTTCAACTCCCCATTTAAAGTGGTTTTACGCCACTGCTGCTTCATAATGGTTTATCACTATCAGAATCAAAGAAGCGATTGGTGTCTGTCATTTCATCCGTTTCGTTCGACTTAATCCTTTTTCTTTTCGAACTTCCCGTAAACACCAGAAGCGTGGTACGACTGTGTTTTCTGGTAACGTAAGAGATTTTAACAGGACCGTGAATCGGTTGCCTCTTTGATTTTGATAGAAAGTCGAAGAGAGAAGGATAGAGGTAGAGAAAAAGAAAAAGCGGAAGAGAGAAAAAGAGAGGGTGTTGGAGAAAGTTTGGAAACGAGAGAAATTTCGAGAGATTCAACAATTTCAGGCGTTTCACGCATGCAGACGTTCAGAGCTAGCCAAATAATCGTCCATAAATTCGAATAGACTGAAGAAGCAGGCAGGCCCTTAGAAAAATTGACTATCTATCTACAAAGATCGTACTTAGCGGCAGTGGACGTCGAATAGGCTGCTCCTTAGGAATCCCGTGATTTATACTATCTGTATATTGGAATGCGGATTTCATCTATAAAACACTCTGATGGCGCGACGCGCGACGCTTTTCACAACGCAGCGGCAAATTGTGCGACTTATTGAAATTTATTTTCATCAAACTTACGGCATCCTTCGACCATTCACAAAAACTTTGAATATACATCTACGCGTATCCACCGTATCCGTTGTAATTATTTTCCTCGGCGTATTCCAAAGCTCTCTCGAACACCTCTCGACGACCTATAAATCTCACTGAAGCTGCTGCCTCGAAGCAGCAACGAGAACGATAAACGTTCGGCGTCATATCTCAAAGAAAAAATGCCTCCTAGACTGGGACGCCAGGCAAATTTGTTGCCACGGCCAGGAGGAGGTCTCCGTCAGTGAGAGTCAGTCCCACTCCCAAAAATCTCAAGGTACCGATCCGTCCACATGACCCGACGTGGCCCGACGATTATCGGCGCCAGGGTACAACGTTTCCCGCGGCTTTTCATGCCTGCTTTCATTCGCCTTGGCCTCGAGACGTGGCCTTCTCGAAAGGTATCACACTTTCCACAGGAGCAAATGATTCGTTGAGTCTTCACGACCCGCTTGCAATTCTGCAGAGGCCTGTGGACCACGGAAATCCTCATAACCGTCACCACCAGAAATGACGAGAAGCTTTCCCCGATTTATATTATTCGGTTGGACCTTGTTCGTCTTTAGAGAATAACGATTTATCTTCGGACGAGGATCCGGCTTTGCCGTTGCGACCGTCTCCACGCACGTCAAGAACCGTACGTGTCCCGTGTGCCCATGAGGAATTCCTGGAGTTAAACAATTACAAATATATGGCACGATCCATTATACACTGCGATAAGATTGATTTTATAGTTCAGGAGATCCTCTGTAGGTCCGGAAGAATTTTTTTTAGGCGTGAGACTTACCTGTCACGATGGGTGGTTGGGACATTCTCTGCGTGGATGGTTTTATATGGGGAATCGGTACGGTTAAAAGAACACCGGCGCTTGTGCCAATCCATAACAATTCGTTACACGCTAAAAGAGCTGTCACTCTCAGGCACGCTGCTTTGTGCTGTCGTATTATGTCATCGCAACCTGCAACAAGTTTAATGCTTCCGTTAAAATAAATGTCATACGAAATTTCGAGAATCCAATTTACCAAGTGTCCATAGCAGATGAAACTGCTCGCTCAGACTTAACACTTACTGGCAAGCATCTTCGTGACGGCTGGTGCGATATTTATGTCCGTCAGGCATTCGTAGCTTCCAGTGTGGTAGAGCCTTAAAACTGCACTGTTGTGCAAAGAAATCCAGACACCCAGACACCCGGAACTGGCCATACAGGAAACCGGTCGGCTAGTGTCGCTACTGACTGTGAAGGTGTGCTCGATGTCAAGGGGATGAGTGTTTAAAACTTTTATAGTATTGTGGCAGCCGCACCACAATTTCCCAGACACTGGAAGCATCTTTGTCACTGGCGACGCCACCGTTCCTACAGAGATGGTTGTGGGATCGCCTGTGTTCCAACTACCAGCTATGAAAATAAATAATGTTGATTAATACAAAATTACTATATTTAACAAAAAATTATAAAAAGGTTACTCAAAAAGTGACGACTCACTATGATCTCGACAGTAGACTGTAATGTCACCATTGGCGAGGGACACGAAGACCTTGTTATCCAAATATCTGAAATAGAACGAAATATTATTTTTCTAATTATCGATGCATTTTGAAAAGTCTATTAGTACAGCCAAATTTCATGACAGTTCGTACATGATACAATGAACGCTGCTCCCGTGTTGAATCTTCACTTTGTTCTTCTTTATTCTAATATTATCGCTGCAATTGTAAACGTGGATGCAACCGTCCTCCGTGCCGAGCCACATCGTCGGCTGATTAACATCTTCCTCGATAACTGCACCGTCTATACTGGACACATCACCGCCCAACGAAGAACTACCTGCATCTGCGCATGGAATGTCATCCGAGTCCGAGTCGTCTGAACTCGAGCTGCTGTAAAATCGAAAATCATCATAATGAGTATACAATGAGAATATAGATTCACAAATTTATTTAGCATAGCAGTATTTACCTATCTAGCTGAATATTTCCACCACTTGCGTCAGCATCTTGAACGGAAATGCTGATACCACTTTTACTGTTTACAAAAGGATTATTATTCGGCGCGCACGAATTCGCTCTGAAATTTTAATAAATTATATAAATGGGTTTCATTATGACTCGCGTTAGTTGTACAGTGGAGGTAATTATAAAAGACGTTCGTACCCCAGTGCACTAGCTGGAATCCCAGCAACGCAAAGTATCCTCGCATTGCAGACTCCATTACATGACGTGACTTGTGGCGGTTCGGGACTCAAACTCAAAACGCAAACTTGCCCCACGTAGCCATCACTGTTGCAGACCCAGACGTCCCGTGGCCCCTGACCATTTGCTAAGGTCGGTGCAGCGCAAGTGAACTGAAGTCCTGCCCTCGTCTTTCGAATTGGCAGAGGCCCCACAAATTCTGGACAAGGTCTTCTGTCTGCTGATAAAGCTGTGACAGCATCATAAGATCAAAACAATCAATCTGCGTCTTGCACCAACAGATCATTCTTTCATCGATCACTTACCTAATTTCTGTTTGGCCTCGTTAAAGCTCTCTTCCCAACTTGCCCTTTTATCTGGCTTCGTGAACACGACTGATATGTTCTCAATTCCAGCTCTGAAAGTCATTTTAGAAAGTTATTAAAAAAAATCGGTCTACGCAATAAATAATGGATCAGATAAAAATAATTCAATTACTGTGTATTCAATGTGAGTTCCAAACAAGCTAGCTGAGAATGCGCCGCATTTCTTTCGGCCAATTGACGCTGAGCCTGGACCAACAATTCCTTTATAAGATCCTCCAATTGCTGCTTAGCTCCGTGCAAGGTGGCGGTCAGTTCCTGCAGTTGACTCAGAGTAGCACAATCCTCCCGAAGGTGATCAACTTCTCGCGCCATTCTTCTCAGATTTTCATCTTTGGCTAAACAAGATATCTGTTGTTTAGTCTCCGAGCATGACTAGCTCTGTGCTATTATACAAATATTGTCCAGTATCGATATACATTGAAATATTTTTCGGTAGGTCACTTTGAAAATACCTTTCATCACCTCCAGGTCATCCAAAGGAATTCTCATGAGCATCTTGTATTTGTTGGCCTCGAGTAAACCCAACAAACTGTTTGGACACGAACTCCTGCGAAGGGAAGCATCTAATTCAATTGACAAGATTCTAATAGTCGTTTGACTTAAACATTAGCACAATCAAGGATATTTATCATTGACCTTTGTGTTCAGAGACATCACAACTGAAACTTACGTAGATGGTTTCCTTATTGTACCGCTTCTTCGTTTGATACTCGTTATCACTAGAAGATCCGAAAATAAAAAGAGAGCCCTTTCCTTTCTTGTTCCCTGATTCGATGCTATCGTTACCAAGTCATGTCGGACAAATGCTCTTTAAAAAACAATACAAGTAATCAATGATAAAAGAAATTCAATTAACAATTTAGGCACAAGGTATTGTATATCCCACCTGTCATTCGTGACAATTCCTGCCAACCCTTCAACAAGAGCCTGAACCTCTCTCAAAGTTGTTTGCTGTTGTTCCCATTCCAATGATTCACGTTCCGTACAATTGATCTTGACAACCAACTCATGGACCTCTTTCTGAGCAGCAGTAAGAAGTTCATAGTCAGGATGAGAAGGGTCTGTGTGCTTCAAAAGCCTCTGAATGAGCAATTCGTATCGTGGAATTTTCTGCACAGGTTTAATTAGCAATTGGTCCAGTCCGAGCTTTCCTTTATGCTCTCTTTCCATAGCCTACAATAATCCAAAGTAATATCCTCGTTAAAATTCTCTATTAATAATATCGAAAAGTGACCTTTTACCTCTAGAAATCTCGCGAACGCAGGTTTCGCTTGACAAGTAGTCTTTATAGACTTTTTCGCCGATTTCCAATTGTCAAGAAAGAGAGTGTAGGTCTCGAGGACGACGGGCTTCGTAAACTGTAATAAAAGTTATAACCGCGTTACAAGACTCCTTAAAATGACGATTTAAGTAAGAAATCTAAAATATCAAATTGAGTTACCACATCGAGAAATACATCTCCAATCGTTTGTCGTAGTTCCCAGGTCTCCAGCCGTTTACGTAATTCCTCAAGGAAAATTTCATGGTGACTCAGTATGGCTGGTACCTGAAAGACGCCATAAAAGTTTCATTAAACTTTTTTAACAAAAAAAAAAAAAAAAAATCAATACTCATGAAAACAACAGCGTTATCGATTACAAAGAATAATATTAATTGACGAATCGAGAACGCAAGTAGATTCGCTATTCGGCCACCGTTCCTTTAGTCAGTCTTGGGAAATCAATACAGTCCCAGGTCTGACCAATGAAACCATGGACGGATACAGAGAGTATAGGGCTTTAATTCTCCTCCTTTAGTCCTTGACGTTACATAATATAATAATAACAATGTCACCAGTCTTCCCAACGAACAACCAGAGAACCATTGCGCGATACGATACCGTCCACTTAACCAAGATCCTTTTGCAGCATCAGCTTCATCATACATTCGCAAGTGATGCATATTACCGCAGAAGGTAAATTCATCGTAATTCTTACCTGATAAAATATTTCATCGACCGTCGCGGGATCCGCAAGTCCCGCATTCTCGGGACTCTTCAGAGGTTGTAGATATTTCTGAAACACGAATACACGGCTTGGTTGTATTTCGAAAATTCGTACAAGTTACATATGATTTGGCATCTTTCATACGTGTGTGCCAAATATTACAGTTGACACCCACAAAGAAGCGACCCGATATAATAATTAATGTACCAATGACAATATAAAGAAATATTTAATAAAATTTCAAAATATTAAATATCTCCATATCCAGTGACGATCATTCTGCAGCATAAGTCATCGTTCATACTAAATGATGCTAATAATCGTTAACAAGAGTCCACACGAAGAGACGCTTCTGTTTCCCGTGAAGTTCGACTCCTTCATTCTTCTTGCAATTAGTATACGGTGGGGCAGTAAACAAAAAAATAGAAATTAAGGCTACGCCAAAAATCTTGGAGGTATCTTTTTTTTTTTTTCATTCTTCAGTCTCACTAAGTGAATATCTTGTCTCGCCCCCTGTGACTCAATTTTCTCGTTACCTCGTGTCACATAAATAAATACATGAATTACAAATTGCATCGCGATGTGTTCTAAATACCACGTGGCCGATATACAAGAAATAAAATAATCTAAATATATAAAGAGTATCCAGTATATCGGTCAGATACAACGGTAACCAGGGACCTTCCTCCGTATCCTGTTTTTAGTTTTTCTCATTTTATTCGTTCGTTCTCTCTGCCGCGAATCTTGGCCAATCCCGAGAAATTGAAAGGCCTCCGGAGCCCGACTGGGAATGTTGTTTACTCCTAGAGCGAAATCGCACGTCTCCTCGTGCCACCCCGTTACCTAGATGTATTTCAATTAACAAGAACTTTATGCGATTCAGACTCAATTGCCTTGGATTCCCACCGTACGTAGTTTCCTACTTTATGCACATTAGGAAGTTCGCCTCTCCCGAGGGGATCCGTTCCACTGCGCTACTCCGTTGCACCGCAAATGCATTAACGTCCTGGTGCATCCGATTAAAGTAAAGTGCAACACGCGGAATACGAAGTCCCAGGACCGCGACTCGGACTCGAAGAGAGTCGTAAACGAGTTTGGCAAATTGCTAAATTAATCGCGGACAGCTACGCAAAGCTTTTTCATTGGTTGTTCAGAGAAGCTGCCATCCAAATTTAACACTTGTGCAACTGTCAGCCAATATCTCAGCTTTAATGACCTTCTCGCCGGCTAATTACGATATTAACATGGGATCCGTGCCATAAATCCTAAAGTGCGACGTGCGCGGGTTCGATAAATTTTCGTGATAAATCTTTTCCTACGTTATTTTAAATTGCGAAACAATCCGTCGCGCCAAGTATACATTTCCAGTTGGATACGCGAGCGAATGCCGCGGGGATGCTTATAATTGCCGACTTTTAATGGACCCGGATGAACGGCAGGAGCGTTAATCGAGCAGGCGCCCAGCTTCGATCCCGTCACATCGAGGTTCCGTAGTAAAAGGGAGCCGGTACGATATTTTCCATGGCTTGTAAGTCACGCCACGAGAAAGTCCACCGAGGAGGATTTTGCATAGTAATGTCTAAAGGCGCAGAAGAAAAAAGTTCTAAGAGAATGCGAGGACTCTAATCTGTTTTGTTCGCAAAGTCGCAGGGACGCTCGCGGAGCAGTGGGAGCAGTGGGAGAAGATAATCCCAGTAACAAATCTAACGAGTAACGTACACGGAATGCGACCTAGCAAGGCGAGCCGAAACATCGCGACGGAAATAAATAAATTTTCATCGCGAGACCGGGAGGAAAAAGAGACGTGAAAAAAAAATATATAAGAGGAACTCCAAGGCGGCCAGACATCACGAAAGGCGGAGACGCGTGGGTTGAGATATGTCGACTATTATTTTTAACCCGAATACCCTCAGCAATAAATAGTCAATAAATACCGTACGTCGTTTCTCGTGGGAATTAATGTGGGAAATTAGGAAGATGCCTCGCGCGTCCCCGTCCGGTACTTTCACCCTGAAGGATCGTTTCTGCTTTTGAAGTTTTTCTTTAAAAAATTCGGATCGCTCGGTTTGGTAAAATCGAAAATATTGGGAGCACGTTGGACGATCGTCGATACATAGGAGCCAGCATCGTTAGGGAGGCACGTGCTATTTACAAAATATGACAATCAATCACGGCTCCGACTATCAATTTGATATTAGCCGATAAATCATTAGAGAAATTCTTTAAGGCTCTCGATACCTTGAATATTCTACGCAGTGACGTTTCGCATAAAGGCCGATTCGCAAGGTGAATAAAAAACGTCGAGAGATCCGTTCGAGCTTCCAATGACTATAGGAAGACATTGATTTCGGCCTGTTATCAAGCCTTCCTTCTTGCTACCCGTAAATGTTTATCCCCGTCCGAATCCCACTGGCTGCACCGCTTAAAGCTCGACGAAGACTGCAAGCTGCACCGTTCAATAGGATCATTATTGCCTAACTGTGCTATATGTTTATCTGTCGAATTTTCACACGTCCGATTGACTACTCTCGAGCAGGCGCCAAGGCTTATTTACATGGCGCTACTGTCTGGCCAGTCGGGCGTTCTAGTATCTAGGTATTTAGCTCGTTAAAGACAACCGTGCTGAATTCGCGTTCAGCGTATTTCCAGCGAATGAGATGAGTTCGATAAATAAACCGAAATCGTCCACCGTGTAATTTCCGTAGCCGCTAAATGGACGTTCGCAAAATTGCATTAGCCCCACCGGCGAATGAGATTGACGATACGCACGTATTATATTTTCCACGCTGGAATTTCGCTTTCCGTAAACTCTCGATATTTTTTGCCGACGATAATAACGGAACTGCCGTGAATACATGCGTGACGCCTTCGGGAGGCAATGGAATTAGTTTTTATTGCCGTTTTAAATGTTCCCAAAGAATTCCCTGGTAATCGTGTGCATCGTCTGAGTGTCACGAATTATATTCACGAACGGCGTTCCCAAAGACGCTGAGACGGGATCGGGATTGTCTAGAAGTTAATTCCACTTGGTGGCTTGTTTATAGGGAGCTGATAGAACCGCAACCCTCTTTTATCTGACATGAGAATGTTTGCTTCTACTTGCGCAGCATCGGTAGACTCAAGCCGGCTGATCGATCGTTACCGTTGTCCCAATAAACACAGGTGTATCCTTACACTCGCCAATTGGATAACTCACATTGACTAGTATCTGCAAAGCCTCCACGTATGAACGTTCCGTATCGTAGAGTTCAACGACGACATGTGTTCTCGTGTCCTGTAATCAGAAAGAAGCAAAACACGGCATAAGAGACTTCGTTAGGCAGGAAAAAAAAGGAAATACGATTAATCAAAAAATTTGTATCCAGTCATATGAAATTATTTGAACATGAGAAATGATTCACCCTTGAAGTACGATCTGACAGGGAGGAGATATGGACAAATATAGGTAAAACATGGATTTTAATACACGTGTGCACATCCGAGTGCTAACAGCTGACAAATGCTCGTCATCCATTACCCACAATTATTTCGAGAGAAGTATATCAATTTTGCGAACAAGAAAATAAGTGGTCCAGCGGGATATCCGTACGGTATGCAGTGCCATATAAATAGCTGGTAGATTCTCCACGTAGTGGAAATGAAGGAACGTGCTAACCTGGGCCACGCGTTGTCCCGGCATGTATTCGAGTGTAGCTATTAATATTGATCAAAATCTTCGCCAAGAAGTAACGTTCGATATCTCCATTAAGATTTCGTATACCGCAGGAATACGACAAATATTTCACTCCGAGGCGAAGATTTTTGCAATTTTTCAATAATCCACCAATTTTATTCAATTCTTGAGAAATCTTAGAAATTTCTGCTCGAGTGCATCGTGACCTCGTGACACGCATTGCACGAGTGCATATAACCGGACATGTGTAAATATCCAGATGTAGATTCACATGTGGCCACTCGGTCCGACTGCGTCACACATAGAGATCTGACACACATAAGAGTACTAATCAAATTTGACAGCTGTCATCCCGTCGTTTGGTTAACGACCGTTTGGCAACATCGAACAAGCCAAGGACGATTGATTTTTGCCGAAAAATCGGGAAAAACACGTTTTACTCGTAGCTGGAAAGGAGAGAGAAGGCCTGCCTGTTTTCGTCGAATTGGCCAGGCTGATCGATCGCGAAAACACGAGGCCGATACGGTGATGACGTCGAATTAAAGCAACTCGATAAATTTAAACAGCAGGAAGCGCAGCGATGCTATACCACATTTTTCGCAGATAATGCGTGCTAAATAGGCATAGCTGGTAACATATAGATATAGGTAATGAGAAATTTTTAATTTTTCACCTAATAATTATCAGTGATAACTACGTACCACTTGTCTTGTCACGTGCTCGTTATCCTCACTGTCCTCGGAAGGCTGGCTGATGAGTCTTTGGCCAACACTCATTGTCAACTGTTGCTTCTTCGGGCAACGACTCTCATATCATTCTTGATAGTGCATCGAAATGCCTGGCCGATAAACGCGCGATTTTTCGAATTTACGAAAAATAATGAATTTTACGCAAGCGAGGGATACGGATCGCCGGGAGGAGCCTTCGCGCCTCTACCAGCGCGTACAGAGTCTTTTTCTTTAACCGGGCAGGTTTAGCCTAATTTATTTTTAAAGTCTGACAGACGCCGATTTCACCTTAGCCTACATAGAGGCGGAACTTTAAACGTGACTTTGGGAACTATCGTCAGAGCAACGAGACGATTAAGAAAATATAATTTTTGGGTAATCAGCTTTTCACGTTTTTCAATATTTTTTTACAACCTCTATCTGCGCACAATATTTTTCTTCCGTTGATATATCGGGTACCACGTGATCGATGGATCACTTCGAGCACATAAATGGACAGTACGTAACGCACATTCGATCACAGAATTTATCCACTCTGCTAACCACTTGTACACACAGCTTTTGAAAAAAAAAAAATACCAAGAATATTAAAACCTAAGATGTTTGCGAAAGTGAAAATATTCCGAAAGTTTCGAACGATCGGGACCTTTTCGAATTCGAAAATCTGGAATCGAACTGCTCAAGATTTCTCCCGATCGTGTTTTGACACTTCACGAAAACTCACGGGATACGGGAACGACCGAGTGGAATCACTTGAAAGTCAGAGAGACGTGCTTAACGCGACTGAAGTCGTCTCGTTAAGTCTCGAAAGTCCGAAAGCTCTCTAAGGCACCTTAACGTGCTCCGATGGCTTCCACAGGCAGCCCCTTCCGGAAGTTTGCCCGTAATTTCTCGACGATGTAGTTTCGGCCGGGATGAACGATTTCGTAAGATAAAACCTAGCGAGTCCCGAGTATGCCGGTATGCGGAATTTCGTTATGCAAATAAATAGTGAAGCGATTAGACGATCGGACTGGTGTAGACGCTAAGACGACACGTAGCACCGCACGTTTCACTCGGATCTCATTATTTCTCATAATACGTCACAACCTCTCTCGAATGGCCACCACAACTTTTGCACTACCTCGTTATCATATATTTTTTATTCTATCTCCCTCCCCCCCCCCCCCCCCCC